GTGTTATTGATTAGTAAAATCCATTAGATTTTTCACCATATTTTACTACTCAGACTAGTTTGTTATTGAATGCTAATAATTCATTACATTTTTTATAATATTATAGATTAGTTATTATAATTTATCATATCTAATGCACTTTGCAAGAGAAGTTGACTCACACACTTCGCAGTTAGTGATTAGAAGTAGCTACGTGCCTTGGGATGGCAACAACAAAAATAACCTAAATGACCAGTAGGCAGAAGTCAGCTGAAAGCGGAAAGCCGTTTTATATGGGCGTGAAATGTTGCTGACTGACAAACGAGTTGAGGACCATCCTTTCTGGGATTTCTTTTTAAAAAAAATAGTTGTTGAGTTTTTTTAAAGCTATGCTAATCCAGTAAAAGAATTTTCAACTGTGAACTGTGAGTATGCCTTAGCCTGAAGTGCCGCCACCGGAAAGAAGAAACAGAAAAACTAAAATACTTCTTGCACTGAAAGTAGCAGAAAATTTTTTGGGGATGTGGCCGGAAATGCAATGCAGCACTATAAGTCGGTACAATGCGCAAATCAAGATCATTTTGGCTATCAGTGTGGGTATTCCATGTTAGTGATGTTGTACACCGGATGCAATTATGCCAGGCCTTTCAATTCTAGCTTGTATTACTTCCATGAATAGTAACCCCAACCTGTTCTTTATATTTGCAGTGCAATACGTTCGCAAAATTTTGCACTTTTTCCTGAAACTTTAAATCGAAAGTCGAGATTAAACAAAACTCCAAAATGGTGCTGTCATGGGGTCCTCGAGTTTAGCTTTTCTTAATTAAGCTAAATGCTCTTTGTCGCAATTTTCGCTTTTGAAAGAACAATTTTCGCTCAAATTTCGGTCTTAATCCGGAAATTCAAGCTTCCTCTTTTTCCTTTCTATTCCACTTATATCCCTGCTTCTGCCTCTTTGTTAATGCCTCTTGCTGGTTATTCGTAGCGCATCCAAGAGAAATGGAACAGGGGTGGACTCCTCGAACGAAAATAAGGAAGCACTTGAAAATAATCAGGAAGTACTTGAAGTGAAAGTAGATTAGTTCGGCTGCATACTTCACAGCCAGCATTGTCCCCCGAACAATGCAGTGTTCGAGCGCTAACTGAATTACCTCAAGTACCTTCAAGTACTTCGCCGCTGTAATTTCTTTATGTGATGCCTTTTGGCTTGGCTGAGAAATTTCGACAAGTTCGCAGCATGCATAAAATTCAATTTATCCGGGGAGTCACTTGCACTCTTGCTTGAAATGAGTTTTTTTTTTCTGAATAGTGTAACTCCGTTCAATGAAAAAATACAGCTTGTGCCGTACTCCCTGTTGAGTGCCCAAAAATCTCGAATTCGAGGCATTATAAACTACAGAATCAACAGCTATTTTTAGTTCATGCCGAAACTTCTACAACCAGAGTTGCACCCTTTGGTGCCTATGACATGCCGATGGCCCTAGTATCCATAGGAATCTGCGATCCCCTCTAATCAGTTGTTAGGAAAAACCAGGCGCGGCACAGAAATTCTGTTGATGACTTGAGGTTGAAGATGTCATTATTAGTAAAGTATGAAGTGAGATTTTTTAGTCGCGTTTTTTCGTGTTAAAATCAATAGTTTAGTTTAGAATAATTTATTTTTTGAACAGAAGTGTTAGTTGGCAAGCATGAGAATTAATTTTTCTCAGAGGGCATGTGAACACGTTTTTCCATAAAGCATTGGATTCGGAAATCTTCTTTTTTGATCCAGAAAACCTCGAAAAGGTTGGTTCTGGAACAGCTTTTACAACAGAAAACTGGAATAAAAGTAAATTTTCATCACAAGTGATATTTGGCAAGGTTTGAATTTGATCTTAAACTATCAGTAAAAAAGGTTCTGGAAAACTCTTCCAACTCATGCAACAGTTTTCTTACTATTTAAACAACGTGACAAGTCTTGAGAATTAATTTTCGTCCGAGAGGCACGTGTTCGCAAGAAAACACTGGATGTGGAAACTTTTTTTTGGACTCAGAAAACCTTGAAAAGTTCGGTTCTAGAACAGCTTTACTAGAGAAAACTGGAGTAAAAGTAAATTTACTTCACAAAAATGATATTCGGCGAAGTTTGAATTTAGTTTTAAACTATTACTAGAAAAACTGGAAAACTTTTTCAACTCGCTTGAGAGTTCTTTACAATTTAAACCACTTGACAAAGCTGGCCGTCCAAATTTATGCGACAGGTCTTAGGCTGAGACAAAATAACGAAAGATGAAATCCAGAAACTGAAAAGGCGGAGAGTGCGAGAGGGAAAACTAGGCACGTGTTAGCAAACTGATGCGATCACTGATCAGAGATTGAGGAGCTGGAAGGGAATTCCATTAAAAAACATGAGGGGTGAGGGTGACGAGGATTGAGTGAGGTTTGTTTTTTGACGAGCACTGAAACTCGGTGCCGCCGCAGTGAGTTTCGAAAAAAACATAAACAGGTGTGTGTGTCAAAAGGCGCATTAATGGATCGCTTTTATTTCCGACTTTCGGATTTCGTAATTTTGCAGTTTAATTTTATGCGCTGAGCACATCGAACTGATTAATTTAATCCAGAGTCTTTTAGTTTCACTGAATACACTGTGATATTTGTGCATGGCTACTGGTAAGAAAGGCAAAAGGCTTGACCTTGACCAAAAGCTTGATCATAACCATGAAACCAAGAGGAATGCATAAAAATATCAATTCACAGGATGAAATGAAATTGCGCCTAAAAGCATCCCGATGCTTAATCGTTGAAGTGATTAGAAGCAGACGAGTCATCAAGGGTCCCAAAAAAACCGGGGTGATCTGGCCAAGTAATTTTCTTTTTAGATTCAAACAATCACAGTTATCAGCCTTGTATTTCTGTTATAGCCACACCGAAATTTTGATAAGCTTTCCTCAAACTTGTTATTCACATTTTAATGCAAGCTTGTATTTTTGAGAGGCATTTCTTACTTTCTTAGTTTTATTTAAATGTCTCAAAAAGTATCCAAATTAATGAAAATATGGAGGTGGTGTAAATCCCCATGTCATGAAAAATCGGACGCGTGAAAATTCGAAGATTAGTTTTGTTTGTGTAGCTGGTGTCGTTTCGAAAACAGCAGCTCAATGACAACCTGTTTGGATAAACAGCAGAAACGTAATTTAAAAAAGAAAAAAAAAGCGTTTAACAGAGATTATTTTGTAATTTTTCCGCAATTTTTATTAAAAATCGAGCTCTTTTCAAAAGAAATGAGTTTACAAGAAATTTACGAAAAAGTACTAAGACTTTCCCAAGCGTTACCAATTTTTTCGTAATTTCTTGTAAACGGCCCAAGCCTTAGTACTTTTTTCGTAAGTTTCTTGTAAATGATTTTCGTTCAGGTAATTTCCATAGTCCGAACTATCCGTGAGATTGAGGATTTCGCAAGCAGTCAGTCTTAATATACTCTTTTTGAAATATCTGA